GTTCATTTATACTTTTAAGAAAAGCATCCATGTAATCCAGCTTTTCAAATATATTTGTATAGTTTTGTCAAATACTCTCATAAGTTGTTTAAATTTTTTCTATATCTAGTTACTTCTCATTCTTCCTTTTTTTTGGTAAAGTGGCTAATTCTTTTTTCCCCAGTCTTAAGGTAATTGACAAATAAAAATTGTATATATTAAAGTGTACAGTGTGATGATCTAACATGTATATACAGTGACATGATTACTACCAAGCTGACATATCTCCTTATAATAGTTACTTTGTTCTAAGTGTATTTAGTTTTGTAACTTTATACCATATAAAAATATTTATTTGCAAAAACAGTAATTTTTATGGAGACAACAATAGCACCTATTCAGAGTTCTGTGAAGATTAAATAAGTTAATATATGTACATTGGTAAGAAGAATGCCTTAGTAAGCACAGTATTAGTATTGGACACTATTATTATTGTCTATAATTTTCCAGTTTTGATCATCTTTCCTTTATTGTTAAAGCAGAATTATACATGATTCTCTTTACAAGTTTAGCATAGAGTTTATCATTAATAATGTACTGACTTATACTACCTTAACTACCTTATAATGTGTTTACAAGTTAAGTGAATAAAACCACTAAGTTAAGTTTATGAGTAATGATCTTTTGGTAGGAAATCATGTGCATAAGCTCATAGTATTTGCTTACAAATTTTAGAACAAGAAAATTCATATATGCAACTGGCAATAAGTTTCACTGAAATTGTCTATTTTGTTCTTTCTCAATTTTTGTTAATATTTAGCTCTTTTCCCCCTGGAAGATAAATACAAATTAGACAGCTGAGCCTAAAAATCTTTTATCCTAAGAGGACAACGGTAAAAGAAAAACTGTGACCACTGTTTTCCATTTGTTTCCTACAAGGAAACTGCCTTTGACTCAGGCAACTTTTTTTAATTGGGAGCATTTGTCAAGAATATCTATTTTTGGTACACCTGACCCTAATATAATGTTTTATGTCAATTATGTCTCATTTCTTAAAAAACACTTGAAAAGACATCTTTGATATGAGTCTAACGTTTGTACAAAATTGCCAGCCCTCTTTAAATTAACAGTTTATATATTAATCTTTTTGTCAAACAGACATCACACAGTCCCAGCTATAGTTACTTTGAATATAGGAAAGTGCACAAACATGTTTAAAGACATAAATAATTCTATTTAAAACTTTTGCTATAACTCTAGTGATGCAATAGGAAATAACATCTTACTTTCATGCATAAGGGGTTAATGTTTTATTTGTATATACTGCAAATCACACCATTTACTTTCAAAAGGCTTGCAAGCTGCCTCAATTGTTACATCCCTCATTTTATAGTTTATGTGATTAATGTATTTAGAAAACATCCTTCCTAAGAGCATAAAACTTCAACTCAATCCTATCTAAGTGATCCAAATGATATTAATAATCAGGGAAGCAAGCTAAATAAAAAGCTCCCAACTAGTGCAGAGCAAGACTTACCGTAATTACAAACATGTGAAAAACACAGTAATGTGGGTAAGACCCTCTTTGTGTATCATCGCATGTTCTCACAACAATCCTGCAAAAGAGGTAATCAGGGCCCACCTGGCAGATATGGAAGCTAAGGTCCAGAGCAGCTGGAATTTCCCCAGATCATTCAGTTCATGTTCTTTCCATTATTCTGTATTGTTGACAAGTTTAAACTTTAGTTCAGAAGGCCCTGGTTAGATTTTATTTCCGTATTTCTGATTAGCATCTACAAATAATTACAGATTGCTTTTGAATCCACTTTGCCAACATAGCAATAATCAAATACCTTAGTTGTTTTCTGAGAAAACTCACCTTACTACCTCAGAACACCAACTTGATTCAGAGAAAGCTATGGAAAAGCAGGTTTCTCATGGTTTTTGAAATAATACTGCCACCTCATGGATTAATGGTGAGCTACAGTAAACTGTCAACGAACAGTTTGAATTTCAGAGAATAAAAATTTCTCAATGGGCAGTTAGGACAGCTTCCAGAAACACTGAGTTGTAGCTATCAGAAAAGTGATGATCATATAACCATTTCATCTTGTACACAGTAGCCAAATTGCTGTTTTCATATAATTGCCAAGTTGGATCCAATAAGCATGCATTCATTTTATTCATTCCTCACATATTTACAAAGCACCAACTATTTTATGGATAAGACTGAGAATAATCTGATGAATAAGGATGTATTCCATGTTTCTAGAATATAAAATGCTACTCCTGTAGTGGTTAATATGTACGCTCAAACCAGACTGCCTGAGTTCAAATCCTAGGTCCCACTAACCAACTGTGTGACTTTGGACAAGTCACTTAAAACTTTCTGGGTCATTTCAGTGTCACTATGTGCAGAGTGGGGAAAACAGTAGCCCCTGCCTCATAGTTATTAAATGACCTGTGGAATATGAAGTACCCTGTATGAGGAGGTCTTCAAGGAATAATGTATCTTTGAAAGTGATACTGGAGAATGAAGACTTGACTTGCAGGCAAACAGTATTTCCTGATATGAAGTAGCAGGAATGAGATATTACCAAGTAAAGCTTTTGGGGTGGGAAAGAAAGTCTTGCTTTCTAGGATCAGAGTAATTCATATTAATTTACCCCAGTATACATTCCTCAAAATGCACAAAAACTTACATAAAAGCTTGCTCAGTGCAGAACTTTTAACTATAAAAGAATAGAAATTAAATGTCCACTGATAAGAGACTGGTTACATCGATTATGACACATCTATACCATGATACTGAAGGCCAGCCTAGAAAAGAATGAAGCAGAGCTGTTAGAATGGAGCAAGCTCTCACACATGATCAATGGAAAACTGAAATGCAGAACGGCTAGTGTGCTCCCATGTTTAGAAGGCTACACATGCACGTATCTGCAGATGTGTAGAATATTTGGAGAATACTGTGTGGATTGCTTTCCTTTTCTTCTGGTCCATCCTCCTTCTAGGTTGACTTCAGAACTGCAGAGCTGGACAGAGCCACATTTTCCAGATTCCTCTGCAGATGTGCCCTGGATGCAAAGTTGGGTTCCACCAATTTTCTGTATTCACACGATTTGGAAGGTAGGAGTGAGGGAAGGTCAGTTCCTTGTGTGCTGTCAGCAACCTCCTTGAGTCTTCCCCAAAGCTGTCGATGTTTCCACACCCCAAACACAGCTGCCCTAACAGGTGACGCGGATGATCGTCACTGCTGCTTCTGGGCCATTCTCCCTCACTCCACCCAAGGAAAACCTCTCCTCTTTCATGCCATCTGACGGCACACCTACCCCACCCCATGTTGGTCACCACAGATTGCTGGCCATCATCTCTTGTACATCCTAGCTCATGGCTTGCTCTCCCTCCAACAGTTCTGTCATAACTCCATGGGTTCTCACCAGCACCTTCCATGTCTCTAGCTTACTACCTCTCGTATGCAAACCAACGCTGTTTGACCCAGCTAAGTTTTCACTTGTCCTCACTCCGTGATCTCATTTATTGGGTTCCACCAATTTTCTGTATTCACACGATTTGGAAGGTAGGAGTGAGGGAAGGTCAGTTCCTTGTGTGCTGTCAGCAACCTCCTTGAGTCTTCCCCAAAGCTGTCGATGTTTCCACACCCCAAACACAGCTGCCCTAACAGGTGACGCGGATGATCGTCACTGCTGCTTCTGGGCCATTCTCCCTCACTCCACCCAAGGAAAACCTCTCCTCTTTCATGCCATCTGACGGCACACCTACCCCACCCCATGTTGGTCACCACAGATTGCTGGCCATCATCTCTTGTATATCCTAGCTCATGGCTTGCTCTCCCTCCAACAGTTCTGTCATAACTCCATGGGTTCTCACCAGCACCTTCCATGTCTCTAGCTTACTACCTCTCGTATGCAAACCAACGCTGTTTGACCCAGCTAAGTTTTCACTTGTCCTCACTCCGTGATCTCATTTCCTTACTTGCCCAGCTTGAATTCTATTGCCCATAACTATCATGCCCCCTCCCAAGGTCACTGCCCCAGTGACTGGTCCCTTCTCTCCTCTATTATTATTTTCCCTCCCAATGGGATTATCTACATTAGCATACATTCTGTAATTTCTTCCAGTTTAAATCTCGAACTATAAATCTCTAAACAGTTATGCTAAGCCAAGTCCTCCCAAATTCTATGATTCCATTTGTATCAAATTATAGCAAATGCAAACTAATCACTAATCTGTAATGACACAGTAGATTAGGGACTGCCTGAGGGAAAGGGGCCTTGCTGGGGAGGGTTTATAAGGAGGAAACTTTTGAGGATGACAGACATGTTCACCATCCTGTTTGCAGTGATGGTCTCATGGGTGTGCTCCTGCCAAAACCCATCAAATTGAACATTTCAAAAATATGCAAGTTACACATATCAACTAACTGTTAGCACTGAAGTTGTTTCAGCAAACCATCTTGACTCCACACTCCTCCAGCCATTGCCCATTTTTTCTGCTCCCCTTTATGGTAAAATTCCCCCAAGCTGCCTAAACACACTATCTCATTTCAATCCCCCTCTACCTTACCCCTCTCTTCTCCCTTGCTCCAGGTCAGCTAGACAAGCCTCCTTGCTATTCAGAACACCAGGCATGATTCTGCCTCAGGATCTTTGCAGGTCCCTAGATATCAGAGGATTCCTCTTCATTTCCTTAAAGCCTTTGCCCAACTGCTGCCAAGTGAGGACTTCCAGCAGTTCTCTATTTAAAGCTGTAACACACCTACCTCCTCCCCACATATCGTATCTTCTTCCTCTTCCTGGTTTTTCTCCACATCATTTACCACCATCTGACCCACTATGTATTCTACTGGCTAACTGAACACCTCTCTCTCAAGCAGAATATTAGTCCCAAGAGAAGAGATTTTGTCTATTTTGTTCATGGATATGGCCTCTAACATGTGTCCCAGTATCAGACTTAGCAAACTAGAGTTTTTGAAGTTGTAAGAAAGAGGAACTACTCACTCACCTAAGTAAAGAGAGTTTATTACAGGGACTCCAAAGACTTCTATGGACCCCTAACGAGAGTAGGTACAGCCAGAAGGGAAACAGAAACCATTGAAAATTAAAATGGTTTCTCTCTTCTCCAGTCTGACCTGCTGAGGAAGAATGGACTTGTCTTATTTTCTCTGAACTTCAGTTTCATTCTCCTTTCTCTCTGCAGACTAGCTGTCTCTGCTGCTGACCCAAGCACAACATCCCCGGGCTTCTGCACTTTCCCAGATGAAGAACTGGATTATAAATCTCAACTACAACCCCCTGCCTAGACAGGGCTTGAACCAGGTGCATTACCCTCACCCCTGCCAAAACCTATCAAATTGAACATTTCAAAAATATGCAAGTTATACATATCAACTAACTGTTAGCACTGAAGTTGTTTCAGCAAACCATCTTGACCCCATACTCTCTCTCAAGCAGAATATTAGGTCCAGTTAACTGTGGCCAGGGGGAATAGGTAAGCAGCCTATTTAGCAATCAGTGTCTGGAAGGGCATTTTGTTCATAGGAAAGACAATTTATAGTTGCTTGTTAAAGTTAAGCATTTCAACTTTCCTTCAGCTTTTAAGCCTAACTTACAAATATTCCATTCAGAACACTAATAATACCTTTTAACAATCACTTTCAAGAGGACTTTTATAAACATTTGATAGAGTTGATTTAAGGTGAACAAACTAAATTTCTTTAAACTGAAACCCCATTAACAATCCCTTAGCAACTTATAAATTCAGCCTGGGTTCCTTTACACAACTTAACAGCATTTAAGATATTTGATTTTCTTGTAAATAGCACTTCAAATGCTTGACCCAACAAACAAAACCTTCCCAAGTACTTAACTCTTATAAATACAACAAATTAAATGAATAGTGACTTTCCAAGTTCTCTAAAACATTTCAGTATTTTTCAGGCTTAGTTAACATTTTAAAATACCTTTCAACTAAAATTCTGGAGTCTAAAAATCTGTTAGGCATTTTAAATTAGAATCTGAAGGCCAATGTTACATACTGTAATTGTTTAAATACTTCAAATGGCAAATACAACAGTCTGTCCCAATACATATAAAAACTATTCCTGAACTTAACATAAAAAGTATTGATGGCTTTGGGAATTGTTTCATAACCTTTTTGAAAATCTGTAATCATTACATATCTCATCTAAGACCGCAGCACTCAGTGAAGTGTTAAGGGAAATGAGTAATTTCAGCCCCAGCAGGCAGGCGAGATCAGAGTGCTGGAGTGAGGAGAGACTCAAGTTTTGAGGATTCAAGAAGTGAATTAACTACAGTAGTTAATTCAAAGTTAAATGAGAATACCATCCTTGCGTGATTGTGATGAGAATCAAACAAAATAATGTATGGGAAAATCATTGTTACATATTATATACTTAATGACAATTAGCTTTAAGTAGAATTTCAATGTAATTTTTACTAGTATACAAATTACCAGCATACTTATGAAGTTAGATTTTTAAAAGCTTTTAAATACAAAGTTCTTTAAATAAATTAAGCCTCCTCACCAGGAAGACAGTTTCTGACCTGGATTCATCTCTCGTAATTATTCAGAGACGTAAACTCCTGGTTTTGTATAAGCTACTATTGTTATGATTGCTTCAATCAATTAATGAAAGGAAAACTAGGCCCTATTTTTGAGCATATGCCCTTACCAGAACATAGAAATAGCTGAATTCACATTAAGAAATGTTCGTTTAAGTAAGGGTTCTTCTAGCCCAAGGCATGTCAGATAACTAACATCTTGAGGTGGAATAGGAATTGGGGGAAGGTGGGAGAGGTAGTAAGGTCAGTGCACTTAGAGTCACTAACCAGTGACTATCCATCAGGAATTGATACATCTCAAAAAGCCAAGAAGAAAGTAAGAATCTCTTTATAAAAAAACATCATTTACATTGCACTTTAAAGAAAAACAACTACTTTCCGAAGCAAGCTACTCTGGCCTGGGGTTCCAAAAGAAAATTGTGGAGATTAGAGGGAAAAGATCTATAGATTAGGGGACATGGCTTTCAGAGAGGTGGGTAGCTATAAAATAGCTTCAAACATATGCATAAAAGGCTGACAGGCTATTTATTGTAAGAGAAATGCGAAGTTTTATCATTCCCCTGACTTGAAGCAAGTTGAAAACCTGGTAGAAAAGTTGCATATTGAGAAGAAAAAAAAATAATATGGTCTATCTCTACACCTTGTTCTGATAAGGATAGTCAAGATGAAAGAAATAAAAAGAAACCTGACATGGAGAGCAGAATTTTTAGGTCTCAAATCTGCCTCATGACACTCTCTGAATATACGTCTAACTAGCGTCAATTATTCAGAGTTGGCCTGTGAAATGCCACACTTGCAAGAGACATAATCCTATTACCAGTTGAAGCAGGACAAGTGACTTAGGATAAGTGATGATGTCATGAGTGGGAGGTGAGCTCAGCTGGGGCCTGGAAATCCCAAGGGCACTGATCAGAGCGAAGAAAGAATTTATTTGTTGTTTTGTCGTCATCATTTTCCAGGACAGAAGTAAAAAATGAAGCCCTTTTCCTCTGGCAGGATTCCGAGTTGAGAGTTCTAATTTCTGCACAAATGCTGATACAGTACTATACTGTATTAAAATTAGTATCAACTGTTCCAAGGTAAACTATGACCGAGAAAACTGTGATCTGGCGAAAGATGCCATGAGGTTATTCAAAATATTATGTGAAAAAAACCGTGTCTTAAAACAGGTACATATTTCCAATCATAGTTATTCCAGTCTCTTTCTTAAAATTACTTGCGTAAAAAGTTTTGTCAATGTATCAGAGAATCTCTTTTCAATCACTAATAGAATCAAATCTATTCCAACTTAGGAGTTCTCATGTGTCTTACTAAGCAACATTATGATTCTAGCTTCTTGCTCTCCAGAAACCCATCAGATGTATGCTGCAATGCAGAAGTGCTTTCTTTCCTCGTCATGGTAGCAAAAAGCATATCCATCATCCCCAAGGTTTCTAGTAGTTCTCTTTGGTAATCAATCTCCTTTTCTACAAGCCCTTGAAGTAACAAAAACTTTTTATCAACTACAGGTGACTGACCAACCACAGGCAGGTATATATCTAGAAAGAGAGAGAAAAACACATTAACTAGAAGCATCTTTCTAAACAATAAATGAATAGCAATATTTAGAAAAAGTATAAAATAGTAAATATAAAAACACTGAAAAATCTGTACTTATTTTAAGTCAAACAACCCATCTGAATAAATCTATTTCAAAAAGAAATAATTATAGTAGTGTGGAGGTTCTGACTTTTTATTTTCCCATTAAAAAATAACCATGGTCTAATAGTCAAACCACTGTATACATTTCACTACATTTTAAAATGCATTGATTTACTGTTGTTTTTCTCTAAGAAAATTTTTATTGGAGGAGTGACAACAACATATTTTGACTTATTTGATTTCATAAATTGGCATCTCTATTTCTTCAAGCAGGCTAGGATTTTTCAAGTTTTAACAACTACTTACCAATAATTATTTCAGCAGCACTGATCAAAACAGGAGCAAATCTTGGCTGAGACAGATTCCTACAGGGCAAAAGTTCTATTTACTAAAATGTGAAAAAAATTTTTTTAATCCTTAAAATAGATTTACTGAACTGTTCCATCAGTTCTCTTCAAAGATTAAGCTAAAAGTAAATGTCTCTCATTTGGAGATAAAGGATTTCAGATGCAAATATATGTGTTTCATAGACATAAAACATACCTTATCAAAAAATTAAGAACACGACTGATTTCCTTTTCATCCCGACCTGCAAGGGCATTTGCAAGGACTCCTCTTCGACTTAGCTCTTTTATGATAGAAACTGTAATCTCAGGTGTCTTTATTGTACAACTGGGCTGGAAAAATTTTCAGTCAACACGAGCAGGCAAGATAGCACAAGAAAGAAATCAGTCTTGGAACTCATTAACAATTACCAAATTTAAACACATTTTTATCTTCACAGTTTTAAGTCATGGTAACACACAACACAAGCAGTAAAATGATTCTTTTAAAAATATGTTGCTCAGAGGTTCATCAATTATAACAAATGCATCACTCAAATGTACCATATATTGATAATGCATGTGTGGGGGCAGAAAGTACATGGGAAATCTTTCTGTTCCCTCAATTTTGCTGTGAACCTACAACTGCTCTAAAAAAAAAAAGCCTCAATAAAGAAATATATATACATATTCGTGTGTGTGTGTGTGTGTGTGTGTGTGTGTGTGTGTGTGTGTGTGTGAGAGAGAGAGAGAGAGAGAGAGAGAGAGAGAGAGAGAGAGAGATATTCACTCACCTCAAGGACTCTGTCCAGGGCCTTAGAGATCCGGAAATTTTTCAGGTCTCTATCATACAATTCTAGGTGTTTCTTTGATGGCCTGTTGATCAAAATGTCATCCTGTATTAAAAGGTAAATTTATAGAGATAAATCAGTATCTGTATATAGTTCCATTCAAAACTTTTCCACGGTGATTTTTTTTTAATACTAGGATGCTCCTGAACTAGGGTAGAAATACCAGTTATATGCCCATGATGCAGATTAAATGAAAACAGAGTAATTTGCCACACTGATATGCTGTTACCCTCCTATGATTTTGACTTAACAATACATAGACAATACCTCAATTCTAGGCAATATTACTGATTTCAATCCTCTTCACATGGCAAGCCGTATGATTTAAACTGCAATCTAGTCCCACCAACTGTGGTTACCAACAATGAAATCTTGGATCAGTCACAACTTCCATATATCTCCATCTTCTCAGAAGCCAAATGGGGACAGTACTAACTCTACTACTTTTTAGGGTTGTTCAGAAGTTCAAATCAGTATGTGAAAGACATTGTTTCAACTAAGGTAAAGCACTATAACATTGCCATGATTCAGGGGGTTAAATAAACAATCTTTATTCCCCATTGCTCATTAATAATGTCCTCATCTAGCAATCGGGAGGAAAGCAAAACAGTTAAATGCCATGTTAACTATAGTTGCTAGTAATGTGCAGGGATGGAGTTGGCTACTCAAACAAAACTTCACCTTTAAAAATACATGTAAGAAATATATAAATACCCGTTGTTTCATGTAATTTTTTCCTTTAATGTAAGTTCGATATGCAGGCCTTCTTCTCCTGTGAAGAGAATCCTTCTTTGCCTCAGATTTCCGATGTTTAACACTCAGTATTCCATTGGTCATTCCTACAACTATTGTCTCATCTTCATGCTAACAGCAATCAGAAAAATAAGTTAGTCTACTTAAAACTCATAATTTTTCTTTTTCTTAAAAATACCATTTATAACATGTTTGCTGCTTATTCATACTTCCATCAAGAGTATGGCTCATAAAACTTGACAGGGACATTCCAGAAAGAACAGTCAACAAAGAAAAGGACATTTCATTTTATTGCTCCTTTTCTCCCCCACCTAACCCACCTCTTTTTTGCTTGGAGAGCCAACTTGACTTTTTAGAGCATTTAGCCCTTGAGTTAAATATGCTGAAGAGAGTTTATCAACTTCCCACTGTGCTTAATTTAAAGCTATGCAATGAATGGGTCCTAAATCTGAATTTGTACTAAGTTATTGGAACAAGTCATATATTATAGCAATTGTCTTATCTAATGCGACAAGAAGCAAGTAAGACTTATTCAAATACAAAGATAAACCCTAAAATTCCATTTTAGTTTCATTAAACAGGCAAGGTTAGTGAAAGTATTAGAAAGCTAAAAGTACTTACTGCAAGTGCAAGACTCAAAATTGAAGCTGCATAATCAAAACTGTGGACTACTTTATAGGATGTTGTACTATATACTTTCACCTTCCTGATACAAAAGAAAACTTTGTCACAAATCATCTTGGAAATGAGTATAAATGTAAACATACTATTTTTTATTTAATATCTCACTATTAAAATTTATACAACAATGAAGAAAAACAATGATTAGTAATATTATTCACAAACTAATGTATCACTGAATCTCATAAAAGCAATAGTAACAATTGCTTATTAGCACTAGCCAAAACGTTTGTATAAAGACTCTAGCCACCAGAAGGACAGACCATGAACCTGGTCTGAACTGTCACCTGAAGGCAAAACAGGAGTAAAGAAAAACTCAGTGAAAGTCAAAAGGGCAAAGTTTCTCAACTTAAGCATTATTAACATTTTGGGCCAAATAATTCTTTGTTGTAAGACTGTTGCGCACACTGTGTGTTTATGTGCATCCTTGGCCTCTACGCTCTATGCCAGCAGCACTCCCCCCAAGTTGGGGTAACAACCAAATATTGCTGAATATCCCCTGGGGATCAAGAATCACTCTGGGTTGAGATCTACTACAAATGGAGTCACCTTACAGTTAGTTTTTAAGGGACACATCTAAAAATCAAGTCCCAAATGGCTTAATAACATTTTAGAAAATCTGCTATATATTTATATAATAAATTCCTTTGCATTAGAAATATTTCCTAGCTTTTAAAATACGCATACTTTTTTAATAAGCATGCTGAAAAACCAAGGCTTTCCATCACAGGGAAAAAAGGAACTAGGAACTATGGGAATAAAATGACCAACCACAGGTAAGTAGAAGCAAATTCTAGAACTGTGCCATTGTTCTAGCTACTTGTGGCTATTTAGCACTTGAAATATGGCTAGTGAAAATGAAGAATTTTTTATTTTACTTTATTTTAATTAAATTTTAATTTTAAAACTGAGGTAGTATAAAAATATTTTTCTGTTAAGCACAACTATATTTCACATTTCATTGTAAAAACACTTGTATCACGGGGCATGTATTAGATAACTAATCTGTTTCTAGTCTCTCAGTGATTTTTATACTGATTACAAACTGAAACAATAGGAAATATATGTTGGACTAAATTACTAAATCAGCTTCTCCTAGTTCTTTACCTTTTTTATGTGGCTACTAAAACATTTAAAATGACATGCAATCATATTTCTACTGGACAGCACTGTTCTAGAACATTAACTACCGAAATACTAATACCTACTTGAAATGATAGTATTTGGACCACTTTAATGTACACAGAAATTTTTACATGAAGTTTTAAACTTTAAAGAATGTAATGTAGAATATATATTCATTATAAATATTTTGAAATATACGAATATACAATAATGATTTTAAAAGAAACTATAGAATAATATAGATTTCTTATAAACCAATGTTCAAACAGTTCAATAAAATTCCTTAAGCAATAAATTATGTCAAAGGAGAAAGTAAGTCTGCTGTATATATACAAAAGGTCAAAACTATTTTCAACTTAACAGATTATTTTCATGGCAGAAATCATTTGGCAGAGTATTTATTTTATCACAAATACTGAAGAAACAACTCATTTCCTCAAGCAGTAAACACCTGTACACTAATGATGAAGAAAAGAAATTAAAATGCTAACCTATCCAGTGAGCCAGAGAGTAATCTCTGTCCACAGCTGCTCAGACATAAACATGTCACAGTTTTATGATGATTTTTCAAAGACACTAGCAACTGTCCTCCTTTAAGCATGTCCCAGACTTTAATGTAACGACCTCCTATAAAAAGAAATAATCATTAGTTTGATATTCTGCCTACAGACTCAAAATTTTAAAGATCTAAAAAGCATTCTTCACCGGACACTCCACAACATGGAGATGAAGTGAGAGATTTCAGAGCCACATTGCCCTGTTTCAATACTTTTACTGGGTGCGTAACTGATAATAATGACAGTTCCTCCCTCACAGAACTGTGACGACAATTAAATAATTTCATATTTGCAAAGTACACAAAATACCTGGTAACATGAAAAGCCAAACCAAAAAATATTTTAAGAAAATTATAATAAAATCATTCTTCAAAAGATTTTGTATAACCATGGAAATAAATAATGTAGAATTTATTTCCTAAAAACTTTGTAAATCCCAACAAAACTAAAAAACTTCCCTGTAATTTTTACTCTAAGACTTGGAAGGATCCTTAAAAGCAATTTAATCCAATGTTTTAAAAGTTTTTCCAATACAGCATTTTTTCTTTCAATAAAATATTAAGTGAAAGTCTAGGAGGTAAAACAGAAATAGGGTTTAGAGCAGGGAGCAAAGTTCTTACCTACCCTGCCTGGACAACAGGGCCTGGAACTCAACCGACAGTCCCCAGAACTCAATTCACAGTCCCCATCTCCCCTTCATGTGGCAGCTTATGACAGATACCACAGTTTGAAACCACTGATCCTGCCCAACCTGTCACTTTCAAGGTCTATACGGAACTGCCCAGGGTCACACAATTAGCTAGCAATACAGTGGAGATTAGCATCAAGTATCCATTCTCTCTGTTCAACATGAACTTATTTCCATGTCTCAAAATAGAAGAAAGATTAGGTACATCTGACAATGTTATTATCCTCTTCTGAAATCAAGTAGGTACTGGGAAAAAGTATAAAACAGGATGTTCTCTATTTGAATTTTAGAATTAAGCAGAAAAAAAAAAAAAAACACCCAACCATCATGTATGCTATAAAGTATGCATACTATGTATGTATTTTAATGTCAACACATTAATTTTGACTTGACAAATGAAAAAAGACCATTTACTTCTTCCATTAATATTTTGAAAATGCACTATGATCAGCATAACAAAAAACACCTCAGTTTCAACCTGAAAAATGTACCAGGGCCCATTCTGATCCCACATTTTCTCTTCTTTCAGTACTATACGCTATTTCCTGGGAACGCCATTTCAAACAAGACAGTCACATAACGAGACAAGCCTGATGCCAGATCTGAAAGAACCTGTGTTTTCAAAAACTGCCACATATCTCTTAGGAATATCAGCAAGAGTACAACCTGGATTTCTGGGTTAAGTACACAATGCAGGATCTCAAGTTCTGGGTAAAACAGAAAAAGGGATTAGAGCGGGGAGCAAAGTTCTTACCTATCCTGCCTGGGCAACAAAGCCTGGAGCTCAACTAACAGTCCCCATCTTCCCCATATGTGACAGCTTATGACAGATATCACAGTTAGAGACCACTGATACTGTTCAAAATATCATTTTCAAGGTCTATATGAGTTAAGGAACTGCCCAAGGTCACACAATTTCAGATCTGGGTTAAGTATTTCAGATCTCCCCCTTACCACTTTGTCTTGGCTAAACTTTCATTTATTTCCTTAGCTGCAAAATAGGGAGAAAACTACCTAGCTTGTAGGCTCATCTAGGGCACTGAGGTAATATGTATACAATACTACAGTGCCTGACTCACATTAGTACTCAATAAATGACAACAGCTTGCCTGTCCCACTTAACAATTGTGTGAAGAAAGACCTAGATATGCAATTCAAGTGTACACTGGTAAGTTATAAAAACTAATAAAGAAACACTTGATCCAAGACCAACAATACTAGCAGAAACAGTTTTTAAAAGAAATACCTGCTGATACCAGAAGACCTCCAGAGGGAAAAAGCAGGACACTCTCCACAGGCTGCCCGTGCTCAACAGAGGTAACACTTTTGTTGGTTCGTGCATCAAACATCTTCACAGTATGATCATATGAACCTAAAATATTAATTTTTGTATAATGTGAGTTTCACTGTTTAAACAAAAACTGTGTGTGTTTGTGTGTATATTCAAACATAAACTTTAAAAGGAGAAAAGGCTAAGATGAAATGTTTAAAAGACACATTCATGAAGATACATTACCTCCAACTCACTGGTAGCACTGACTTGTTTCTGAGGAAGTGATACTCTATACCACACAGAATCTTAAACTACACCTACCTTAGGGTTTCTGCCACAAGTGAGTCATCTGGGACTCTGTGCAGGCACCCACAAAGACTGAATTGCATAGGCCTTTTATCTTGGCTGCTGGAGGGTCTATGAAAACCTGGGGACTAAACTCATTATATAGTCATGTTTTCAAGGAAGCCTGGTATTTTCAAACACTCTTGAAGGACATTAAGAACAATCACCAAAGGAAGAAAAAGAAAATAATACAACTGAATAAACGGAAACATATTTCTTCATAAACATTTTTTAAACTCCCCTAGCCCAAGAGTCCCAAAGCAATTATTAAAATATATCATAATAAAATGATCGACTACAAAGGGACAAAAAGAAGTTCACCAACCTGTTACAAAGAGATCAGGGTTCAGTTTGCTAGCACATCCACACCTCACATAATCAGAATGTTCCCTGAATGTCAGAAGTTCTTTGGAATTTGGAATATCCCAGAATTTAACTGTATAATCATCAGCCCCAGAGACCACATGGTATTTGTCAGCTGTAAAATCTACTGTATGAACTGCTCTGAAAGATCAAGGATCAGTATATTAAAAAGCAAGAAAACAATCTTATTTCTGACCCCATCTAACATAAAACATTCCTTTTCCTCCAAATAACAAAAAAGTAGCTCAGTTTTAGGGAGTAATTTTAAGGGGAAATCACTAGAGAAAAAGAAATCTTTAAAACAGATGTTTGTCCCCAGGCCAATTACAAACTTCAAACACCTCTGCACTATGAATTTAATATTAAACAATAGACTTAAAATTACATCTTCTAGTTTGTTAACAATTCTATTCATCTGCTCAATGAAGGCAACCCTAACCCTAACCCTGCTGTAAATGCTGGAGCAAATAAAAAAATCAGAATGGGTACTTCTTTAGAAGATTCTAAGACTTGCCACTAAGTGGGATTATGTTACATCAATGTCTCTTATATTTTAAATGTTTTACTGGTACAGTAAGACCATCCTGATAATACACTAAAAACAACAAATTTGAGATTTTAAATCAATAACGAATTTCAGCAATAACTGTAATCCTGAAACAAAGTTACAATATAAAACTACCTCAGCTATTCAGTGTATCAAGGTACAAAATACTAAATCCACCTTCCAACCTGATTTCAAAATGAGAACCTCCAGGCCAACAGAGGCTCTTTAATAGTTGTGACATTGCCTTTAGGTCAATGGCTTACAACCTCAATTCAGGTCACAGAATTCAAAGAAGTTAATAAAAGCTGTTAAGACAGCTCCCTTGATAAACATACATTCCCTAAAATGTCACATGCAATTCTTGGGATTTCATGAGCCCCATCAAACTGGACCATAGGACTAGATCAGGTTAACTGAGCACTGTGTCTTAGAACAACCAGGAAATAAAGTACATAAAGATACATAATCCTCACTGAATTTCTCTTTTTGTATTTATCCAAAACCCAGAAAACAGCTTATAACAAAACAAAAAAATACAAAAAAAAAAAAAAAACTGTAACTTTATAGTGAGAGATGTTAATTACTTATTATGGCAATCATTTTGCAATATACACAAATATTAAATCATTATGTTGTACACCTGATTCTATGTTAATTATGCCTCAGTAAAAAAAACACCAAAAAACCCTGTCTCTTACTTAGTATGGCCTTCAAACTGCCTGAGGGGAGCCCTCCCACTTATATCAAAAAGCTGAATTCCACCATCTTCACTGCCAGCCACAAGCAGTCTACCATCCTGCCGAAAAGTAGCACAGTACGCTGTATCTTTAAATCGGGAAAAGGTTTTTATAGGTTCCTGAGAGTATCGGCCATAAATATGAATCTACAAGATAAAAAAACACAGTATTTCACCAGATGGCTCAAGATCAGTAGTAAATATAAGCTATATAAAAAGAAAAGTTTACTATTATATTTACCCTTGAAGAAGCTGTTACAGCATAATTATATGGAGGCTGCAGAGAAAAGTCTACTTTTGACACTGCACCAAACTCCTTGATCTGAACAGGGGTCTTAATGAAAAAATGAAGAGTATTAAGAGTTACAACCGGTAACAACTATTGAAGCATTATATAATTTCTTATCTACTGTTTCTTTTTGTTCTCAGTAACATTTAGTAGGTTATATTTAATACAGAAATATGAAGAAAGCAAAAATAGTCCAAATCCCATCACCCAGACTATCCTTGTCGCCATTAAAGTAAACAAACACTTGTTTGAAAAGCCAATCCCTCTTTTCCTTCAGCTGTGGAATTTTCTGTGATTATTACTGGGTTAAAGAACAGTTATCCCTATGTCAGCATATATATAACCATGTATTTTTTAACTGACATGAAGATCATACTATAGATCTTTCTGCCCCTTATGTTTTTTTTTTCACTTAATAAACACATCTTAGCTAACTTTTCACATGAGCAATAAATTTACCATCCATTATAGGATACAAAATAATTTACCAGTCCACTACCAACGGACATAGTTTTTTCCAAAATTTCTAACATTACAAATAATACATCAATGAACATCTTAATCCATACATCTAAGCAAATTTTGGAAGTATAATCACTAAGTTTGAAGGTGTGGAACTTACAAGGCCAAAAGGCAATTTTATCATGACAGATGATGCCAGAATGCCCTCCAGGAAGTTTGCACCAATTTCCCTTCCTCAAAATAGCAATGATAATCACAGTTTTTCACTTACGCCAATGTAACAGATGAGAAATAGTATCCAAATTATTGTTTTAGTTTGCATTTCTTCAATTGTGAGTGAAGCTCAGGCTCTTTAATGTATTTACTGGCCATTTAAATTTCTTTTTCCATAAACCTCCCGATTCTAATATTATTCCATTTATCTATTTAGCTGTTTCATCTTTTCAAAAAAATGATTTGTAAGCAACAATCTAAAAGAATTAATTTTGTTCACTTCCTCCTTAGTTGGATTAAGAAAGGCAAAAAAAAAATCTTCCTACATATGAGATTCAAATTTTAAAATTTACCTCATTTGGCATTGATTAAATCATCTATTCCTGCTAGGTACTTACATACTTTTATGATTAAACTGATTAAGCACTATGGACTTTCATATAAAATTCCAAGGAAAAATACTAGGTATCAAATTTTCCACCCAAATTATGAGCTGTTTTTAGTTATTCATTCTCCATCAGAGTAACCAAAGTACAAAATAAGCTGGAGAAACATGAATTAATGCAACCGTCCCCCCATCGTTGTCTAATTTACCTTATAGTTGTTCCAGTACAGTGTATCTTGGGTGATTTTTTCACCAAGTATAGGATATGTCTGAATAGCTACTGGCTTATAACCAGCCATAATTTCATATAATTGGACTGTTATCCAAAGGTAAATTTTGAAACCGATGTCAGAAATAATTAGAGAGACTCTGTCTTATGTCTGAAAAAGAAAATATTTTATAGATACGTATTATTCATAAACTTGTAGAAATAGTTATGATTTTCACTTTGTGCCCTTTCAAAAGGCTGTGAGGTAGCTCATACATTAGTGACCAAAAAACCATAAAACTGTAACAGAGAAGAGATAAATCTAATGGAAGCAGGAAGAATACAGAAAGGACTGCCATAATGCATCATCTACTTAGCTACATACAGAGGTTGTACCCAAATGTTCTCACACCTAACTGACCAATTTACAACACCTGGGAATAAATCTGGTTCAGTCATCCAGTAGCCAAAGCAGGGAGAAGTACACTGGTTTAGAATGTTCATTCACGACAACAGAGAGCATTAAGGTGAAACTGCAAATAACATAAGTTTCCTGAAACTAAATTTAAGATTACATTTAATCTATAAGAACACAGTCTGAGGACTTGACTTCCTAAAAGCCTAAGAATGCCAAAAAGGAAAAAGAAGATACTATTCTAATGTAAAAACTTAAAATTAAACTTAAGAGCTTAAAGTTAAAAGCTAATATTAATGTAGAAGCTTAAGTTACATGCAAAAGATTTAAAGAGTAAGAAAGAAAACAATAGAACATAAACAGAAAAGGATAAAAATGAGTTAAAACTTTTAACTGACCTGTAATTAAGCCAAAATGTCTTTCCACAACTATTCAATTGCAAGAGATTCAATTTTATAAGGTTAATGATTCACCATATAACTCACCATCTATTAAAAACCTATCAAAGCAGTGCAACAGTAACACCAAAATAAATAAGTACAGCATATTTTAAAGGCTGTTGATGAAACAGCAATCAACAATTAAAAGGCGGAAACTTTCATTCATTCAAGTATCTACAATGTAGACAACACTGTTCTTGGCACTAAGGATACAATGGTGAGCGAAACAGACACGACCTATGCCCTATTCTCCATTCCAGCTGGTGATTGTCACCAGCTAAGAAACCGGAATCAGCCGTGACTTGTCCTTTCCTCCTCATCCCAATATCCAAATAGTGAATAAGATCTGATTTTACCTCCCAAATCTTCTTAAACTTCATCCCCAATCAACCTGGTCCCACTGCCCTAATTCAGATCTCATCTACTGAACTAATGGAAGTTAAGATCTCCCTAATTCCCTCGACTTCCAACTTTCATCAGAGGTAACTAACCACACGGCAAATCTGTTTTTTCCTACAAATCCCAGTACTACCCCAGAAAGGTCCAAGCTCTTTAACGAGGTATGTAAGGCTCTCTGAGGTCTGGCCCTTGTTACCTTTCCAGCTTCACCGCTTGTTACTACTCCCTTAACACATCAAGCTTTTTCTTGTCTCAATTTGTCTTTGCTCATTTGTACTCTCTGCTAGGTATCCCCACCTCTTTCTACCTACTTTAAGTCAAGGACCACATTCTTCAGGAAACCTCTGACCTCTAAGCTAGGTCAGGGGCCTGTCTTCTACACTGCTACTTGACAATGCACATTTCTGTCAATGCACATAATTGCATTGCATTGTAATGATCTCTTTTCCCCACTAAACTGAACATTGTGTGTCTAGAAGATTAAAAAAGAATATGGAAGGAAGGAAAGGAAGTCCTATGCTTGGTTCTGTGGGAAAACAAAATCACAGGTGGTGTCTTTAACATGAACATTGCTATACAGGAAGAGTTTATAAATGTTTTCTGTAAAGGGCCAGACGATAAATATTTTAGGCTTTGCAAGTAAACAAATTGAGGATATATGTTGTTACAGAGTAAGAAAGAAAAAAATTCTCAATTTTTTACTAACAAAACCCCTAAAATAATTATGAGTACATTTTTTTTTTGCTTATGAATGAAAAGAATGACATTCTTTGGAGGGGGTGGTTAACATTTCACTTAGAATTCAAAGTTAGTGTTTCCTGTCATCAAATATACTGCAAAGATTCATCTGTAAAAATTATTCTTAGCTCACTGTCTACCCAGAAATAGGCACCAGACCAAATCTACTAATCTGCGGGTCTTTGCCCCTTCCTACAGTAAAATCTAAGGAGTACGTAACTGTCTTGAGAGAAATAGTTTAAAGCTTTAGAAAGAAGTGAGCAGCAGGGGTAGGGGGTTGCCACATTGAAGTGAGAAAGAGTACAGGAGGAGGGAGGGAGGGAGCATGTCACAGTGCAAAGGTAGGGTGGCAAGAAGTGATGTGAGAATGAGGAGAATGAAAATGATTGGAGAGAGGGCAGAGCCTGAGAAACTGGGACTAAATGAGTAATAAGTACTACAATACAATACAAAAAACCAAATATGTTATGAATAACGTAGTCCTGAGAACTCAGAAGAGATTTTTAATTCTAACTTGGACGGCTCCCAGAAAGATTCAAACTGCACTTCAGCGGGACCTTTAAGTAGAATATCAAAACTGACGACCACTTAACATGGGCGCAAAGGCGGGGAGGGGAGGCATTCGAATCTGAGGCAACCTTAAAGCAGACATGGAAATTTGCCCATTACGTCGGAGGGGTGCGGATTCCTCCGGGGTCTAGTTAACTGTGGACAGTTAGAGGATGTGACCGCAGAGGAGGAGATTATACATCTAAACTGCGGAGATCCGGATGAGAGGCTAGTGAAGGATAGCCATTCCACTGGAGCCTGGGAAGCCCCAGAGCAGCAAGCCAGACACTGTCGGACTCCCGACGTGAGTCTGGATTACCCCCATCGGTAGCCGCCTTCACATACCTCAGCTGGTCCCTTGAGGGTCCGCCAGGGCACCCCGGCTTCAAGGAGAATTTTTTGGACTCCGTCAGCACCCTCCCCGCACTGTCGAGGATCACTTGGGAGAAATCACGCGGATCCTGAAGCGAGCCACAGAAACACATGGCGACAGAACCGCCAGGCCCGTCGCAGGAAGATGACGCAACGGCGCAAGCTCACGACACTCACCCAGCCGTGGAGTCGCAGGGGCGGGACAGGAGAGGGGCGATGGGGAGGAGGAGGCGTGGCGGGAGGACGAGAGTGGGTCCTTCGACTGGTGACACAGGGTGGTCAGCTGCAATGACCTTGTGTCTGTAGCTGCAGAAGGTCCGCGCTGCGCAGCGGCGGGAAAAAACCTGGAAGCCTTCTCGGCTGCAAGGATACGAACGTTTTTTGGCCATAAAGCGAAAGAAGAAATCGGAAGTGACGTCGCGGTCCAGACAAGCCGGAGCCCTGAGGCCCCTGGTCAGTCTGCGGCCGCAGATGGAAAGGCCCGACTCGCTGTCGGCTGTCGAAGGTAGTCGCGAGGCCCTGCTCTCCCACCCGGGCGGCGCCCGGCCCCTGTCCCCGGAACCCGCCCGCCTCGGGTGAGCCAGAGTTTCTGCCTACCGTGTCTGAGCCGCGCTGGGACCTTTCGGGAAGAGCTGGAGGCTGGCCACAGAGCAGCAGACTTCTCTGCCTACTGTCTCCCCTCCAGCGGGCTTCTGTCCTGGGACGCTGGGACACCTGTTGCCTGTGAGGAGTCACTCATTTTCATAACATCGTCCTTTTCTTTGAGGAACAATTCCAGGCCTAGGGAGAACGTGGGGCCGCCTGTTATTAGCATCCACCATAGACTAGCACAGTTGCCCACTTTGTCTCGTTAGGCTCTCTCTCCCTTCATCCCTGGGCACTTTGAAAGATCGAGGTGATTCTAGCTATCCTTTATCTTACCTTTTTTTCTCACCGCCTTCTCCTCTCGGTCATCTTTATTCCCCCTTCTCCTAATTCAGAATTTTGTCTTTACCAGTCAACACCGCTTCTCTCTATAGTAGTGACAATATAAGAATTCTATTTCCACTTCCTCCTCTCCCAAGAACATTTGCTCCTCTCCCCTTAAAGACCCTGACATATAATAGCATGGAAGATATTTAGGGCTGGGAAAGTAATAGATGTCTATTTCAACCATCTTCATTTTGTAGATGAACAAAATGCATCTCAGAAAACTTAAATGATTTGTCTGTCCAGGGTTACATAGTTAGTCAGTAGAGATGCAGAGAATGGAAAGCCAGAACTGATCAGCAGATATTTGGTGAGCATCATGCAGAATCATTTCAGGATAGAAAAGAATATGAAACATTGTTAAAATTCAGATCAGAAAACATTCATAGAGCACCTGATAGAACCAGGCACTCTTTCTCCCCTGGAAGTTTTGGAGGAGTTTAGGAGTGCAGCTTATTTTAATGGACCAGGTGATGGAGTATGAAGAATGGAACAGGCCCTTCATAGCTCATGCATTCCCTTTTTCTCTTCTCTGTGGTGTATATAATGATTACCTGCCCTGAATACTCAAAGGATTGTTAAAAGGATCAATCTTGGAAACTGTCTCAAAACTATAATTAGTGGCTCTATGTAAATGTATGGTTTGCCAACCTCTGTTCCACTGTGATCTTAATGCATTTTTCTCTTTTAATTCCTATACTAATTTTAAAACACCCTGCACCTTCTCAAAATGTCTGAAGGGCAGTAAACGCTAACATGAAAAAATTAATTGGTTTACTCATTTTCTTCCTCACTCAGGAATCTTGGAGTTCATTTTTTTAGAAGCAAGTGTAGGTACAGTAATGAAATGTTTGAAATTATATTAAGGTACATAGGAAGTGCCAGTGATTCCTGAAAACTTACTTTAAAACAATAGCAAATGATTCAGTAACAGGTATGTTATCATCTATGCTTTGAGAGTGGCATTTATTGAGTTCATGTGACAATTTATATTTGAAAAAAGTCAGTAATTCTTATTTCTTAATGCTTAAAGGGATTGAGATCCAAAAATTACACTTTGATCCTAATGTGTTAGAGATGCCAAAACAAAGGAAGAAGTCTATAGTCTACATACTTTATTTTTCATAAAAAGCTATATTAAGTTGTTAAACTTGATCTGAACAAAAAGTGAAAAATAACAATATCTTCAGTTCATCATAACTGAAGTTTTGTAAAGCCTTTCACTAGCCAGAAATCACAGGTGTTGTGGATGCTAATAGACTTGGGTACAACATGAGTTCTATCTTTACTTAAATTCAAACTGAGAGCAATGTAAAATATAGCATGTTCAAAAGTGAACCTCAGGTAAGAGGTTTAGGTTTTACATGAAGGTTTATTTTCATTGTTAGCCTCATCTTTATCCATTTGGCAATATTCAGGAATAGGAAAGGGGGGGATAGAGTAAAACTAAATTTTGCTGGTACCTAGTGATGGAAGTGAGAATGTCACTGTATCTCATTGGGTCTTTACCAGTATCCTATGAGGTTAATTGTGGTATCCTCATTTTTACAAGTGAGACTGAAGCTTAGGGAGGTTGTGTAACTTGTACAGGTTCACACAGCTAATAAATGGTGAAGCTTGCATTCATACCCAGGTTTCTCTACCTCTGAACATTGTATGCTTTCTATTAAGTAGATGTGCTTATAAGAGCACAGATTGCATAGCTGATTGAAAATTACTTTGCATACTTTTACCTAAATTCATATAATACTTTTAATTTTTTTTTTCAGATTTTTTATTATCTAAATCCCAAAAATACACTGGATACCTCTTTTACAAAACCAAGAGGAAATCATGAAGAAATGTTTTAATTATTGAAACTACACTTGAAGTCATGGCTACATCAGCCAATCTGGATATCGGAGCCCAGCTGATTGTGGAGGAGTGTCCCAGCAGTTACAGTCTAGCTGGTGTGCCGGACATTAAAGTAGAGCACCAGCTGAGCTCGAATGCAGAAGAAGGATCAGCCCAAGGCGTTACCATGGGAATGAAATTCATATTGCCTAACCGATTTGATATGAATGTGTGTTCTCGATTTGTGAAGTCCTTGAATGAAGAGGATAGTAAAAATATTCAAGATCAAGTTAACTCTGACCTGGAGGTGGCATCTGTCTTATTTAAAGGTTGAAAGTTATGGTATAAATAACTGCATTTGTCTTGTTTTTTATTGTTTATTTTTCCCTTTATGATCATGAGATTTTGAGTTTGGGAAGAGAGTCATCTTTTAATATGATTTTCCTGAATCTCACAGGAAACAATTTCTTATTATATAATGTCCATAAGTACATGTTAATTTTTTTAATTTCTTGCTTAACCTTTGTTTATTTACAAATTCTGTAATAAAGTTCCTTATTATACCTTTTTAAATTATAGGAGAAAAAAATTATTTGTGCCTTTTAGAAAAAAATTAGCTTAATATTCCCTATTCCATGAATATTGATTGGCATTATCTTTCTGTGCTTTAATGCAGTGAAATCTGTCATCATACTGTAGTTTTACTTTCATAGTGATCTATTGAATAAAATAACTAACCTCAGAATAAAATTTCTCAGGATTAATACAGATTTTTTTCTGGAACTTTAACTATGATAGGACAGACTTTTTATGGCCAGAAATAGTATCACTTGAGAAACAGTTGAAGGTATTATTCCTCATGTATTTCTCTTTTAATGTAAACATTGACATGGAAGTTTGAAATGCTTCTTCACTGAAATGTTTTAATATGTTGAAATTTATATTACTTAGCTGAATGCAACATCCATACATCTGCTTCTCCCGGAATTCAAGTAAGGCATGTCTACACTCCCTCTACAACAAAGCACTTCTCACCCATAAAGCAGTCAACTACTTTAACTAACAAACACAGAGGGAATGAGGTCTCTACCACACCTCTGTTAGCAAATTGTAAGTATTTCCCACTGATGTATTAAAATATTTTTATTACTAATATAATGTTTTAAAGAGTTTGGCTTTGAGGCTTTATTTTCATGAAATGCATATTCTCTCTTGAAAAACTCAAGTGATGTCCTGATCTAATAATTTAAAAGTTTTTCACATATTACTATATACTAAATATTTAATGTTTTTTGTTTCTCTGTTGAGAACAAATACAGATTGGAATATTCTTTAAATCATTATAGTATTACTATAAAAAGTGATTTATTCTGAACTTTTTGCAAAGTAAGACATTGTTTTTGTGTTCTCAGAGTGCCACATATTACAAACTAGATCCCTGATAAAAAAAAGTAAAAGCTGAGTGAATTCTACTGTAATTTTGAATTTGAATATAAGGTGAATGTGAAACCACCTTTTTAATAACTTTGAACCCACAATTTTTTTAAAAATGGAGAAACGTAGAAGAAATAAAATGAGGTTTTTCTTTATAAACTAGTAAATACTCTTATAGTATTAGTATGTTAATGAGAGGAAACCAGTTAGCAACTCAGTGTTAGGAACTATATTTGATAATATGGTGTAAATGAATCTATATTCTAACACATGCTGAAATATGTATCTTTACTTTGGAAACACTATATCCCTCCTGATTTTATGTCACTTGCTGTGGCAGTTAAGCCAGGAAGAGTCTTTGACTCTTAGTCCATCTATTAGCCGTTTCTGTTTCACTTATGTGAATGTGCATGTGCCTCCCATTTGCTTTCCTTTCTACATTAAGACCACTCAGTCATATTGCTGAAGTCAGGGATCAAGTGATGCTAATTTTTAAGATAAGCTCTCATAGAACAATGTCTTTTTGGCTTTGCTTTTTAAAAGAAGACATTGTCTTAAATATTCCAGCCATAGGATTTTTTAGCTGAAAAGAAACACCTAGAGATCATGTTTCACAACCCTCATGACAGAAAAAAGTGTTTAATCAGTTATGTAAACAGCTAATTAACATTAATTAGGTCTGCATTCAAGAATTTACTGCAGAGGCCAGTTTTCCAGTTACTACCTCACTCCTCCTAAAGTTAAGAAAAACCCATGGAGTCTTGAAATGATATTTGGGATTCAGTGGATTCAGTTTAAAGACAAAAGGTGTGTCTTTGTGTCTTTTAGACCTAACTTCCTCATAAGTGTAGATACAGAGATAGCATTTAAGAAATTAAGTATCTAGGCCATTTCATTGATTGATAAAATCAGTAACAATTTGCATTGTTAATAATTCATCATAACAATTTGCAGATGTCAGGGTTACTTTAAGTAGAAAGGAGTCATTTCTCAGGTACAGAATGGCTACTTGTAATGTTAATTTTAAGTTAGGTTTTTTTAACAAAGTAATTTTGATAAAACTTGCACAAACGTGAGCAATGAGATGAGGAAAGTGTACCCTACAGATATACATAAAGCCCTTTATGGTATTTTTCAGCTTTATCTGTTCACCAGTTGGCTGCACAGGGTGAGATGCTCTACCTGGCTAGTCGTATTGAACAAGGTATTTTTTACATTTAAAAAAATACTCAAATTTAACAGGATTTATTAGATTTGCTTGTTTTAATACAGAAAAGTATGAAGACAAAAAGTTGCATAATTTCACCAGGCAGATAACCCAATAGATAGTTTAAAAAAGTAAGTAAAAAAGTTATAGCTTCCCCTACCACCCTAGCTTTTTCACAAAAAGCAAACATTGTAAGTTTTTTGTATTTTCAGAAAATTTATCTAGAAAACATTTCGGTTTATATTTGGGGTTATGTGGGAATATTTTTGTCCTCTTTGTATTTATACAGGCGGGAAAATATTACACACACTGCACTGCACTTCACTTTTTCACTTAATATTTTGGGGATCTTTCCGTTTAAGCACATAAAGATCTATCTCATTCTTTTTAGTAGTTCTGTGATTTTGCATTGTATTGTATATGCTTATACTATGCTTCTTATTTTTTAATCCCCCTGGTGGTGGTTGATTCCAGTTTGTTACTATAAATTATAATAGTTGACGTTCTTTTCAAGTGTACCCATGATCCCTGTACGTGTATCTGCTGGGTCAAAAAGTATAAAACCGCCAGGCCCGTCGCAGGAAGATGACGCAACGGCGCAAGCTCACGACACTCACCCAGCCGTGGAGTCGCAGGGGCGGGACAGGAGAGGGGCGATGGGGAGGAGGAGGCGTGGCGGGAGGACGAGAGTGGGTCCTTCGACTGGTGACACAGGGTGGTCAGCTGCAATGACCTTGTGTCTGTAGCTGCAGAAGGTCCGCGCTGCGCAGCGGCGGGAAAAAACCTGGAAGCCTTCTCGGCTGCAAGGATACGAACGTTTTTTGGCCATAAAGCGAAAGAAGAAATCGGAAGTGACGTCGCGGTCCAGACAAGCCGGAGCCCTGAGGCCCCTGGTCAGTCTGCGGCCACAGATGGAAAGGCCCGACTCGCTGTCGGCTGTCGAAGGTAGTCGCGAGGCCCTGCTCTCCCACCCGGGCGGCGCCCGGCCCCTGTCCCCGGAACCCGCCCGCCTCGGGTGAGCCAGAGTTTCTGCCTACCGTGTCTGAGCCGCGCTGGGACCTTTCGGGAAGAGCTGGAGGCTGGCCACAGAGCAGCAGACTTCTCTGCCTACTGTCTCCCCTCCAGCGGGCTTCTGTCCTGGGACGCTGGGACACCTGTTGCCTGTGAGGAGTCACTCATTTTCATAACATCGTCCTTTTCTTTGAGGAACAATTCCAGGCCTAGGGAGAACGTGGGGCCGCCTGTTATTAGCATCCACCATAGACTAGCACAGTTGCCCACTTTGTCTCGTTAGGCTCTCTCTCCCTTCATCCCTGGGCACTTTGAAAGATCGAGGTGATTCTAGCTATCCTTTATCTTACCTTTTTTTCTCACCGCCTTCTCCTCTCGGTCATCTTTATTCCCCCTTCTCCTAATTCAGAATTTTGTCTTTACCAGTCAACACCGCTTCTCTCTATAGTAGTGACAATATAAGAATTCTATTTCCACTTCCTCCTCTCCCAAGAACATTTGCTCCTCTCCCCTTAAAGACCCTGACATATAATAGCATGGAAGATATTTAGGGCTGGGAAAGTAATAGATGTCTATTTCAACCATCTTCATTTTGTAGATGAACAAAATGCATCTCAGAAAACTTAAATGATTTGTCTGTCCAGGGTTACATAGTTAGTCAGTAGAGATGCAGAGAATGGAAAGCCAGAACTGATCAGCAGATATTTGGTGAGCATCATGCAGAATCATTTCAGGATAGAAAAGAATATGAAACATTGTTAAAATTCAGATCAGAAAACATTCATAGAGCACCTGATAGAACCAGGCACTCTTTCTCCCCTGGAAGTTTTGGAGGAGTTTAGGAGTGCAGCTTATTTTAATGGACCAGGTGATGGAGTATGAAGAATGGAACAGGCCCTTCATAGCTCATGCATTCCCTTTTTCTCTTCTCTGTGGTGTATATAATGATTACCTGCCCTGAATACTCAAAGGATTGTTAAAAGGATCAATCTTGGAAACTGTCTCAAAACTATAATTAGTGGCTCTATGTAAATGTATGGTTTGCCAACCTCTGTTCCACTGTGATCTTAATGCATTTTTCTCTTTTAATTCCTATACTAATTTTAAAACACCCTGCACCTTCTCAAAATGTCTGAAGGGCAGTAAACGCTAACATGAAAAAATTAATTGGTTTACTCATTTTCTTCCTCACTCAGGAATCTTGGAGTTCATTTTTTTAGAAGCAAGTGTAGGTACAGTAATGAAATGTTTGAAATTATATTAAGGTACATAGGAAGTGCCAGTGATTCCTGAAAACTTACTTTAAAACAATAGCAAATGATTCAGTAACAGGTATGTTATCATCTATGCTTTGAGAGTGGCATTTATTGAGTTCATGTGACAATTTATATTTGAAAAAAGTCAGTAATTCTTATTTCTTAATGCTTAAAGGGATTGAGATCCAAAAATTACACTTTGATCCTAATGTGTTAGAGATGCCAAAACAAAGGAAGAAGTCTATAGTCTACATACTTTATTTTTCATAAAAAGCTATATTAAGTTGTTAAACTTGATCTGAACAAAAAGTGAAAAATAACAATATCTTCAGTTCATCATAACTGAAGTTTTGTAAAGCCTTTCACTAGCCAGAAATCACAGGTGTTGTGGATGCTAATAGACTTGGGTACAACATGAGTTCTATCTTTACTTAAATTCAAACTGAGAGCAATGTAAAATATAGCATGTTCAAAAGTGAACCTCAGGTAAGAGGTTTAGGTTTTACATGAAGGTTTATTTTCATTGTTAGCCTCATCTTTATCCATTTGGCAATATTCAGGAATAGGAAAGGGGGGGATAGAGTAAAACTAAATTTTGCTGGTACCTAGTGATGGAAGTGAGAATGTCACTGTATCTCACTGGGTCTTTACCAGTATCCTATGAGGTTAATTGTGGTATCCTCATTTTTACAAGTGAGACTGAAGCTTAGGGAGGTTGTGTAACTTGTACAGGTTCACACAGCTAATAAATGGTGAAGCTTGCATTCATACCCAGGTTTCTCTACCTCTGAACATTGTATGCTTTCTATTAAGTAGATGTGCTTATAAGAGCACAGATTGCATAGCTGATTGAAAATTACTTTGCATACTTTTACCTAAATTCATATAATACTTTTAATTTTTTTTTTCAGATTTTTTATTATCTAAATCCCAAAAATACACTGGATACCTCTTTTACAAAACCAAGAGGAAATCATGAAGAAATGTTTTAATTATTGAAACTACACTTGAAGTCATGGCTACATCAGCCAATCTGGATATCGGAGCCCAGCTGATTGTGGAGGAGTGTCCCAGCAGTTACAGTCTAGCTGGTGTGCCGGACATTAAAGTAGAGCACCAGCTGAGCTCGAATGCAGAAGAAGGATCAGCCCAAGGCGTTACCATGGGAATGAAATTCATATTGCCTAACCGATTTGATATGAATGTGTGTTCTCGATTTGTGAAGTCCTTGAATGAAGAGGATAGTAAAAATATTCAAGATCAAGTTAACTCTGACCTGGAGGTGGCATCTGTCTTATTTAAAGGTTGAAAGTTATGGTATAAATAACTGCATTTGTCTTGTTTTTTATTGTTTATTTTTCCCTTTATGATCATGAGATTTTGAGTTTGGGAAGAGAGTCATCTTTTAATATGATTTTCCTGAATCTCACAGGAAACAATTTCTTATTATATAATGTCCATAAGTACATGTTAATTTTTTTAATTTCTTGCTTAACCTTTGTTTATTTACAAATTCTGTAATAAAGTTCCTTATTATACCTTTTTAAATTATAGGAGAAAAAAATTATTTGTGCCTTTTAGAAAAAAATTAGCTTAATATTCCCTATTCCATGAATATTGATTGGCATTATCTTTCTGTGCTTTAATGCAGTGAAATCTGTCATCATACTGTAGTTTTACTTTCATAGTGATCTATTGAATAAAATAACTAACCTCAGAATAAAATTTCTCAGGATTAATACAGATTTTTTTCTGGAACTTTAACTATGATAGGACAGACTTTTTATGGCCAGAAATAGTATCACTTGAGAAACAGTTGAAGGTATTATTCCTCATGTATTTCTCTTTTAATGTAAACATTGACATGGAAGTTTGAAATGCTTCTTCACTGAAATGTTTTAATATGTTGAAATTTATATTACTTAGCTGAATGCAACATCCATACATCTGCTTCTCCCGGAATTCAAGTAAGGCATGTCTACACTCCCTCTACAACAAAGCACTTCTCACCCATAAAGCAGTCAACTACTTTAACTAACAAACACAGAGGGAATGAGGTCTCTACCACACCTCTGTTAGCAAATTGTAAGTATTTCCCACTGATGTATTAAAATATTTTTATTACTAATATAATGTTTTAAAGAGTTTGGCTTTGAGGCTTTATTTTCATGAAATGCATATTCCCTCTTGAAAAACTCAAGTGATGTCCTGATCTAATAATTTAAAAGTTTTTCACATATTACTATATACTAAATATTTAATGTTTTTTGTTTCTCTGTTGAGAACAAATACAGATTGGAATATTCTTTAAATCATTATAGTATTACTATAAAAAGTGATTTATTCTGAACTTTTTGCAAAGTAAGACATTGTTTTTGTGTTCTCAGAGTGCCACATATTACAAACTAGATCCCTGATAAAAAAAAGTAAAAGCTGAGTGAATTCTACTGTAATTTTGAATTTGAATATAAGGTGAATGTGAAACCACCTTTTTAATAACTTTGAACCCACAATTTTTTTAAAAATGGAGAAACGTAGAAGAAATAAAATGAGGTTTTTCTTTATAAACTAGTAAATACTCTTATAGTATTAGTATGTTAATGAGAGGAAACCAGTTAGCAACTCAGTGTTAGGAACTATATTTGATAATATGGTGTAAATGAATCTATATTCTAACACATGCTGAAATATGTATCTTTACTTTGGAAACACTATATCCCTCCTGATTTTATGTCACTTGCTGTGGCAGTTAAGCCAGGAAGAGTCTTTGACTCTTAGTCCATCTATTAGCCGTTTCTGTTTCACTTATGTGAATGTGCATGTGCCTCCCATTTGCTTTCCTTTCTACATTAAGACCACTCAGTCATATTGCTGAAGTCAGGGATCAAGTGATGCTAATTTTTAAGATAAGCTCTCATAGAACAATGTCTTTTTGGCTTTGCTTTTTAAAAGAAGACATTGTCTTAAATATTCCAGCCATAGGATTTTTTAGCTGAAAAGAAACACCTAGAGATCATGTTTCACAACCCTCATGACAGAAAAAAGTGTTTAATCAGTTATGTAAACAGCTAATTAACATTAATTAGGTCTGCATTCAAGAATTTACTGCAGAGGCCAGTTTTCCAGTTACTACCTCACTCCTCCTAAAGTTAAGAAAAACCCATGGAGTCTTGAAATGATATTTGGGATTCAGTGGATTCAGTTTAAAGACAAAAGGTGTGTCTTTGTGTCTTTTAGACCTAACTTCCTCATAAGTGTAGATACAGAGATAGCATTTAAGAAATTAAGTATCTAGGCCATTTCATTGATTGATAAAATCAGTAACAATTTGCATTGTTAATAATTCATCATAACAATTTGCAGATGTCAGGGTTACTTTAAGTAGAAAGGAGTCATTTCTCAGGTACAGAATGGCTACTTGTAATGTTAATTTTAAGTTAGGTTTTTTTAACAAAGTAATTTTGATAAAACTTGCACAAACGTGAGCAATGAGATGAGGAAAGTGTACCCTACAGATATACATAAAGCCCTTTATGGTATTTTTCAGCTTTATCTGTTCACCAGTTGGCTGCACAGGGTGAGATGCTCTACCTGGCTAGTCGTATTGAACAAGGTATTTTTTACATTTAAAAAAATACTCAAATTTAACAGGATTTATTAGATTTGCTTGTTTTAATACAGAAAAGTATGAAGACAAAAAGTTGCATAATTTCACCAGGCAGATAACCCAATAGATAGTTTAAAAAAGTAAGTAAAAAAGTTATAGCTTCCCCTACCACCCTAGCTTTTTCACAAAAAGCAAACATTGTAAGTTTTTTGTATTTTCAGAAAATTTATCTAGAAAACATTTCGGTTTATATTTGGGGTTATGTGGGAATATTTTTGTCCTCTTTGTATTTATACAGGCGGGAAAATATTACACACACTGCACTGCACTTCACTTTTTCACTTAATATTTTGGGGATCTTTCCGTTTAAGCACATAAAGATCTATCTCATTCTTTTTAGTAGTTCTGTGATTTTGCATTGTATTGTATATGCTTATACTATGCTTCTTATTTTTTAATCCCCCTGGTGGTGGTTGATTCCAGTTTGTTACTATAAATTATAATAGTTGACGTTCTTTTCAAGTGTACCCATGATCCCTGTACGTGTATCTGCTGGGTCAAAAAGTATAATAATTTTTATTATTATTTATATATCCAGATGTTTATCCTTTTCTTCACACTAGAGTTAGAGTTTCTATTTCCCTCATATTTACCTATATATTTCCCCTGTATTTCCCAATGGGGACTGACATGGGATATTATCAAACTTTAATCTGTGCTAATCTCATGCGTTAAAAATGGTATCTCATACTGGTTTTATTTACATTTTTTTAATACATATTGATTTTTATGAACTCTAATTTTATACATATTGATTTTTTTTTTTTCTATCCGCGGGGCACAAGCAGGGCGCGGGCCACAGGCAGGGCGCGGGCCACAGGCAGGGCGCGGGCCACAGGTGGGGCGCGGCCCCTGTCCGTGAGCAGAGCTCGGGCTGGAAACGTGGTTGCTGAAGCGCCGGCGGCAGGATACATATTGATTTTTTATGAACTCTAATTTTAATGAAAATCTTTAATTTTAAAGAAATTTGCTTTTTGTTTATATTGCATTTATTTTTTTTTCCCAATTTGTCATGTTTCCTTTGATTTTATGTTTTCAAACAGGCTTGGTATTTTTAAATAGTAAATTAATTTGTTTTCCTTCTGAGTTTTATTTCCTGCTTAGAAAGGATTTCCTATTCCAAGTTTATAAATAAATTCACTCATGGCTCATTCTAGAACTTCTGTGGTTTCCTTTTTTACATTTTAATCTCCGCCACATATGGAATATATTTTGATATAATGGGGTAAAGATCAAGCTTTAGTGTTATTTTCATTTTCTCAAAAAGTTACCCAGTTGCCCCAAATTTTTGATTAAACACAGGTTGCATGATAAGAGTTTTATTTTCTTAATCATGTCATTCTTTTATAAGAAAGACTTACTTCATCATTGTATTTGTTTATAAATATTCAAAGGTTTCATTCTCAATCTACTAGAGAAATTTAGGGAAAAAAAATATGGACTTTTTAACTAGTAGACTGAATCTAGAGAACAAAATTGTGTTCAAAAAAGAACTGTGTGTTACTAGATTATTCAGTCACCATTCACTTTATATATGTCAGCAAACCACCAAGAATGAAAGAAATTCAAAGGCAGCATGTCAGCTATGGAGTAGAAGATGCCTTTAATAAGACATTGGACTTTTTATTGTAACATGTATTTATGTAATGCTAAGGGCTATCATATAACCTCATTTTTATTGTGATCTCCTGATTATACATGGAGATAAGCAAAGTATTATTCTGTGTGTTGGAGAAATTGTCATGCCCAGAAATCATTCAATTTCTCCAACACAGAGAGCCAGGATTCAGACTCTGGTCTGACTCCCAAGTCCAGTGTTGTGTAGGCTACGTTGTCCCTAGCACTATGTTATGTCTGATAGTTTATACTTTAAATACTCTCAAATAGCTATTTGAACTCAGCTATGTACATTGAGGCAGAGACTGCAAATTGTAACAATACATAAAAATAGGACTTAAGTGAACAAAAGTCAGCACAAAGTGAACCTCATTGAGTAATATAGTCAACTTTTGAGGATACCAGTGTTTTCATACTGATAATAATAATGTGGTTGTTAAATTAGATCACAAAAATTGCTTTTCTTTTAAATAGAAAATGTTATCAATCACACAGACGAAGAAGGATTTACGCCTCTAATGTGGGCTGCAGCACATGGGCAAATAGCTGTGGTAGAGTTTCTACTTCAGAATGTAAGTAAAACACATTGGAAAATATATAGTTACTTAAGTTCAGTTAAGTAAACTTAAGTTCAGTTTATTAAAGATTTTGTATCTCCAGCCAACTAGATGTAATGATAGAGTATCCAAAAAAATTTTTAATGCTTTTCATGTGGAGTTGGATCTGGTTGGGCAGGCAAGACTAATCATACAGGAAACAGTGAGAGAGACAATACCCAGCCCCCTCTTAAGTGCATGGCAAACAAAGGATTGTCAGTCCTGTAGAAGCTTGGTGGAGGAGATGTTATCTGACTCCAGAGTGAAAAGACAGTTAGGATTGAGATAGAGGGAGAAAGGAAGGCACCTACACAACCTTGATAAGCATCCAGCTATAGAAATTTGCATTATTTCTTCATTAACCCTAGAATGCTACCTAACCTAAACATTGAACTGTAATTACTATTAACAGAAAATGCAATATTCTTGTTTACACGAATTGAAAAGTTTTTCTCTCCACCTGCCACTCTAGGGTGCTGATCCCCAGCTTTTAGGAAAAGGTCGAGAAAGTGCACTGTCATTGGCCTGTAGTAAAGGCTACACAGATATTGTCAAAATGCTGCTTGATTGTGGAGTTGATGTAAATGAATATGATTGGGTGAGTCCATAATACTGAGTTTTAAACTACTTTAATAAACTCTAGGATTTATTTAATTTGAGAAGACAAATTTTATTAAACACATGGAAAATAATGAATTAGTTAAACACCTGAAAGAAAAAGTTAATGTCATAAACTCAATTAGTTCTGATTTAAGTATTCTTCACAAAATATTAAAATCACCTTAAACTACTTTTACATGCCCAATTCTTAGTAAAACTTATAGCAGTATTAAATTATTCAAATCTTGCTCACCTTGAAAAACCAAATCACCTTTTCCTTTTGTAGAATGGAGGGACACCTTTGCTTTATGCTGTCCATGGAAATCATGTGAGATGTGTGAAAATGCTGTTAGGTAAGCAGGGAAAAGTAAACTATTTGGAAAACAGCGTGTGAAGACTTTATCTTACTTTTCACAAGCTGGTCCTGGGTGTTAGGAGACTTAATAACCATTATTAGCATGTTAATCCTGCTCTTGCGCTCTGAAACACTCCCCTGTGAGCAGCAGCTCCATCACGCGGCAGGCCTGCGGCTGGAGCTTTTGTCCTTGGTGCTTTCCTCTGGGGGCTCACATGTGAATCTACAGTTGTTTGCTCTGTCCACTGTGACTTTATGCATAAGTTCTGTCTATAGTTGTTGATGAGTTTCAGCTGCTCTAGAGGATGAAACAGTGCCTTCCCTTCAACCCATCAAAGTGAATTCTCTGCACTTCACATACTCTACTTTGTCAGACCACCCTGAAAATACCCTCCACGTTTGCTGCAAATCTGTTCTGCTAGTTGCACATGAGCCAGTAATAGACATATCCATATTTTCACTTTATTTATGTAGACTTTTGTATTTTGGCATAGAAAATGGAGCTGACCCAACGATTGAAACTGACTCTGGATATAATTCTATGGATTTAGCTGTAGCTTTGGGCTATAGAAGCGGTGAGTATTTTAGAATTCTCAAGTTTCATTTTAATAAAGCCCTATAAGTAGCACAAACCAGTGGCACAAACTGTTTTTATCACTTGTAGTCATAGGACCATTGCATGTTATCCTAACTCCTAACAAATACTTTTAACTGTGGGCAAAATCAACAGATTCCTGCAGTCTAGAAATGATTTGTTCCTATTACTTTTCACCAGCCCAAATAATTAGTTGCAGAAGGATATGTGCACACCTATTTATAATATGTGTTTGACATTTTCATAGCAAATTTTTTATAAAATGCTTTATAGTTGGCCCTTTTTCTCTTCCTTAGAATAAAAACCTTGTACTCTGGACTCTCCTTCAGTTTCAAAATTTAGAATCCAGTAACAGAGTCCAGTAACTTGGGAAATTATCCAAGTCTAGCAATTGGACAAACTAAGTCACTGACTGTGTTTTAAATATATTTCAGTATTGTGTTGTAATCTCATCACCCCCAGACTCAATGTATCCTACTTAGAATTAACTTTATTTTAAGAAGAGGTTGGGGGTGTTAAGTTGAATTTGATAGTTCATTTTAAAATTCTATAATCAACATGCTGTGGTCTTGATCACCTGTCTGTTTTAGTTCAACAGGTCATTGAGTCACATTTACTGAAGCTGCTTCAAAATATCAAGGAGTAGAGATAGTCATCAGAAACTGTTGTGTGCCCTCCATTTACTTTTTGGCCATTACAAATGATAGATTTGTTTACTTATAAATTTTTACCTCAGTTGCAATATTTACTGATTTTTAGTAAGTTTTAATAAATATTCCTTTAAGTAATTTACTGGTTTATAATAAAAATGATGCTCTTTTTAAAATGTGTTTTGCTGCATATTTAAAATTATAAATTAATGTTTTGAGGCATGTAAATTTTTATGGTACAGATAGTTATCTGTCTTTATATCAAGTGCTGTAATTTAACATTTTCAAAATTATTCTACCCTGTTCATTTTCACTCTTGTATTAACCCATTGATTTTATATAGAGTTTGCTATAAATCCATAGGAAAAAAAATTGTTATTGTTGAATCTTAAAAATGCACAGTGTGATTGTTTACAAAATTATGTTAATAAATAAATAAAGTACTTTTTCTGTTAGTTTGCATACTGATTTTTAGTCAACCCTTTATTCCTTAACATGAACTCTCTTCTTGATTAGGAGCATCGTTCTCAAATATAACTCTCTGGGTGTGACTTTTGTTGAACAATCTATTTGTCTAATCATATTTTCATAGAAAGAGGGACAGATTTTTATTAAATATATGCCAATAACTATTTTGTTATGAAAAGTAAGGAGATTCACTTAGAAAATGTTTGTTTCTGAATTCTGAGGATGTCAGAGAGGATCAGATATTTTAAAATGTTATATTTCCATTTACTGATGTATAGCTACTAAATTGAAGGTTAGCAATATCTAAGGAGGAAGGAGAAAGGGGTTCTACACATGTCCATTAAAAAAATACAATAGTTCACACAAACAATCACACCTAAAATTTCCCTCATCAATTCATTCTCATTTCCCAAGATCTTGAGTTAACCAATGGACTTGTATAAAATATGTCTGGATTGACAAGAACCTTTAGAATCCTAGAATCCAGAAACTCTGATCCCCAAAAAGAGACAAACAAAATACAACAGAAAGTATGACTCAGTCTACTGGTACAGTCTAAAAGGTAATTTAAATGGTCAGTTATAAAGCTTGTACTCAGTCTATTCTTTCTGATAACTGTAGTAAGAGTTCAATACTCCCTCTTTTCCCATAGTTTACACTTTCCATGTTTCAAGGACCCTCTGTGATCCACAGCCTGGAAGTAGATGACCCTCCTGTAATGTCAGAAGGTCAACAGTAGCCTAGCACTAGAGGTCACAATGCCTACGTTATTCACCTCACTTCATCTCATCTCATAGGCATATTATCTCACATCACCACAGGAAGCAGGGTGAGTACAATACAACAAGGTATTTTAAGAAAAGGAGACCCCTTTCACATAACTTTTATTACAGTATATTGTTACAGTTCTTTATTATGAATCTCTTACTGTGTCTAACTTATAAACTAAACTTTATCATAGGTGCATTATGTGTAGGGAAAACATTATCTGTAGGGGTCAGTACTATCTGCAGCTTTAGACATCCACTGACAGTCTTGGAACTTAAAGGTGAGTGGGGACTACACCTGGTACTCTTGGTACCCTCTGAGGCTTTCTTAGAGGCTCTGAGCTTTGAGTAGAACCTTCAGAAAAGCATCTGATAAAAGGATTGTGAGACTCAATGATTGTGAGTAGTTTCTTTTAATAACAGTAACAGGATTAAGAAGAGTAACATGCTGTTGTGGTAGTCCACATAATTATTTCATTAAAAAATGGGTCAGTATTTTCCCTCAGGGTAAGGACATACTAAAACGGCATTAACAAATCTCCAGGGCCTTTCCATAAAACTTAACAATATCTGAAATATTCATACTAATAACATTTCACCCATACAAACAACATAGGGAAGGATGGACATTTCTTATTTGACAGTTCCCATGATGCTCTTACAGTAATACTGAGCCAAGTAAGAAATATGGAGAACAACAAAAAAACCTGATTATTTCTATCATCCCTCTTCTTATAAAGTGAAGTAAAAAATCTTGGTGATTTTTCAAGGGCCCTCTAGGAAATCTCAAAGATAAATGCATGTATACAAGACATACTAGAAATACTTCTTTTCTAAATTTAGAATCTATCTGGAGGATGTAAAGCCAAAAATTTATCAGACAATATTTAGACAGTTCCAGTAAATAATAGCATGGGTGCTAAAAAACAATTGATTATACATTTAACCAAAATGATAAAAAACGTTTTGAAGTAAACATAGAAGGTAAGATAATCATAAGAAACTACTTTTTGTTTTGTTTTTTTTAATAATCAAGATGAGATCAACACAAAGCAGAGAAATTATTCTGGTGAGACCTGGAATTACTGCAATCCATGCAGATTACACCGAAGGTCAGGAATAACCTTTTAGAGTCTAGGCCTGGCCTAGCCTAGCAGAGGAATTTACCCGGCTGAAAGTAAATGAGTCTATTCACTGGGTGTGAGCAATTGACCCAGCTTGTTAAGAAAGTCAATGAGGCTAGTCAATGGGTATAAATTCTTATTCAAATCAGGGGTTTCTGTTTCTTGCAATAAACTAAAGGAGGATCTAAACTGGTTGTGAGGTGATAGAAGATAATTAAAAACCACTTGGTAATTATTAAGTCTTTCCCCTTGTTTTTGTAACTCAGAAGTAAAGTATTAAGTGCCAGTGTTAGAATCAATTCTGCTTTTATCTGAATCTACTTTTTAATGTGAACTAATTTCTTCTAGCAATAACTAATTTTAACGTATATATCTGAGTAGTTGAGAAAATAAAGCCTTTCACATCTCTTAAAGATATGCTTCCTCACTAAAATTTCTCATTTTACTTTTATACTGATTATTTGTTAATTTTACTAGGCTAGGCTAGGCTAGACCTAGTCCATGCCCGCAGGTGACTTACTTCTCCAAGGCTGCTGTTTGGTCCCTGCAGCTCCAGTGTATCAACGTTCAAGACAAGACCAAGGAGGAAGGACAAAGGGCAGGAGACACATGTCACTGAGCTTTTCTCAGGAAGTCCCCTTCTTGGAAGTCCCACCATGTAGACTTCCACTTATATCTCCTTGTCCAGAAATGTCCATAGCCACTCCTACTTGCAAGGAAGCCTAACAAATTAAGATTTTTAGCTGAAAATCTATCCCAAGCAAAATAGGGTTATGTTAATAAGAAGAAAGGGACAGTGGCTGTTAGAGGCAGTGATTCCCAGTAAAATCCCCAGGGTCTATTGCACTGCAACCAGAATTACTGGGCTAGCCAGTTCTTAGAGATGCAAACTACTCATCCGGGGGCACACCTTTCTTATACAAACCAACCAATCCGGATCCCAGTGCTGTGAACCTCCTCCATCTGGCTCTCTGAGTCCAGGAGGTAGTAGTCCTCTGCCCTGATCATCCCCAGGACCAAGTCCCAGGTAACTAGAGACAAAACCTCCACCTCGAGCCTTCTAAAATGATTCAAACTAGCTAATCCTAAACCTGCCTGCCCTGCCCTGCCTTGCCCTCTCCCATGGAAACCACAATAAGGCCCTGCCCATGCTTTTCCCTCAATCTGTCTGCTTCCTGACCAACCCTGGTGCTTCCCCATAAGACCCCAGCATGGCATGGCAGCTTCCTGTTTCTAGGGATCTGTGAGTATAAAAAATTTGCTTCATGACAGTCAAAAATAAGAATAATAAGAATAATTAGTAATTTTTTTTTGAACCCTCGTTATTCTGAGATAATTTTAGACTTGGGGAAGAGCTGGAAACAATGAGAGAATTCCCACTCCAGCTGCTCCTGGGCCTGGCCACAGCGCATTTCTCAAACCTCAGACATGCTCACAGGTTTGGTGCTGTTCACTGTAGGCTCGGCTCACCTTTCACCGTTCCAACTCATGTCCCTTTTCTGCCCCGGACACAGGTAGGTCCCTCTGTGTTATTCAGTCTGACAAGGCTGGGCTCTCCCCTTGTCTCCCGTGCCTGTGACCATGGAGCAAGCTGCACCGGGGTTTTGTAGGACGCCCTCTGTGGTCTCAGGATCAGGACAATGCCACTTGATGGAGGTGCGTGCTCCTCTTAGTTACAATGTCAGGGCACACGTCGGAGTGTCTTCTCACTAGCCAATGTTGCCCTTGATTTCTTGGTTAACGTTATAGCTCAGGCTGCTGCAAAGTAGCAGTGCCTGGGCGGCTAAAATAGCATTTAGTTCTCAAGTTCGGGCTACGGCTAGGTCTAGGACTGAGGCTAAGGCTAGGCCTAGGCTTGCCCTAGGGCTAAGGCTAAGGCTAAGGCTAGGCCTATGTTTGCCCTAGGGCTAAGGCTAAGGCTAAGGCTAAGGCTAGGTTAGGCTAGGCTAGGCTAGGCTAGGCTGCACCGGGGTTTTGTAGGATGCCCTCTGTTCATGGTCTTAGGATCAGGACAACACCACGTGATGGGGGGTGTGCCCCTCTTAGTTACAATGTCAGGGCACACGTCGGGGCATATTCTCACTAGCCAACGTTGCCCTTGATTTCTTGGTTAACGTTATAGCTCAGGCTGCAGCAAAGTAGCAGAGCCTGGGCGGCTGAAATAGAATTTAGTTCTCAAGTTCGGGCTACGGCTAGGCCTAGGACTGAGGCTAAGGCTAGGCCTAGGCTTGCCCTAGGGCTAAGGCTAAGGCTAAGGCTAAGGCTAGGCTAGGCTAGGCTAGAGCTCTAAAACCAATTTATCATTTAACAGTGAGAAAACCAAATTATTACTTTGGATTAAACATCAAATTTGTTAGCAAAGATTTTGTGATCTCTTTTATTTCCCCTTAAACCACCTTGTATATAAGGCCATCAAGACAGAAAAATTTGCCAAAATTCTAACACATTTATATAGCTTCTTTTCAGATGAAGTGCTATAAACCAGAAATAAAATTTCCTTCCCTTATGTCCTCTTCAATTTGTTACACACACTCTACTCTTTCATATTCTATAACAAGATGGTACTTTAGATCAAAACTATTATCTTCTTTTTTCTTGAAAAACAGAAGAACATACACAGTTGCATCTCTGCCATTGACTCTAATACAGTCTAAATCAGTTATATTAATTACAACTTTTAGCCAGATTAGTAATTCTTCATGGCAAAAACTGGGAAGTAAAGAATTGAGAATTGCCTGTCATAAACAAGCATGTCACCAGGGTAGAAATCTCATGAATATACAGCTTTCTAAGTCCACATACATTCCCATTATACTTTCTTAGAGTGGTGAAAATGAACACATTCATTAATGTGTCCCAAAGATGCAGCCAATATATAGCATATAGCATATAAAAATAAGAAGCACAAGTACATATGCTAAAATTATGCTTAATAATAAATGTTTCAAAATTCCATCTTACTTGGAAATTACTTAGATATCTAATAGTATTCATTAGTAACTATTAATCCAAGTTTTAAGTTGCTTAAGGATTTTGGAATTTTGGAAATCATGTTTAAGCTGACAAATTATAAAACTTAATTACTGGTGATATTAGAGGTTTGTCAAAA